TTCGTGACTGGACAAACTTGGGTGGCTTTAGGCCACGGCCGATGACTCCAGCGTGGAAAACAGACCAAATCCCTCCAGGACCTGGCACAGCTGCAGTGTGCCGCCGGTTTGTGTCCAACAGGGAGGCAGAAGCCAAAGAAGCTGAGACAACTGAAAGAGTCTCATTGTCCCCATCCACTTCCCCTCCAAACAGTTCTGTGTTGCCCCGATGTAAGGCTCCCTCAACGAGCAGCTGCAAGACAGCCTTAAGCCCAGCAGGAGAGGTCTGAGAGAGGCGGGTAAGAAGCTGGGAGGCCGAAGCCACACCTGGGGGGCCATGCAGCCTCAGAGAAGCAAAGAAGCGATGTACTCCAGCTCTCACCAGTCCCAGGAGTTGAGAGGGGGACAGGGCTTCTGGAGGAAAGGGACAAATGGCCAGGAGGGAGGCAGCAGCTTCGGCTACTTCCTCCTCAGGATGTAGCAGGAGAGGAGCCAGGTCAGACAGATGGGCTGAGGTAGACTCCCCAAACCGGGCCCCTAGGGCTGCAGGGCCCTCATCGCCCTGCTGTTCCCACCCCACTAGCAGTGCCAAGTTACGCAGGAACCTCGCCGTGAAGGGAGGCTGCAAAGTTCCTGCATGCACCCGAGCCAAGCAGCTTCGGAAGGCCAGGGGCAGGAGGCCAGAGAGACTGACCACCAGCCCTGCATATAACTGAGTGGCCAAACTCAACTCTTCAGGGCTTCGGGCCCGGCTCAGGAGATGGCCCAAGGCGTCAGGTCCACAGCTAGGCCGGGTATAGACGGAGAGCAGGCCCAGGAGCTGGTGTTGCCAGAGGAAGCGCTTCCGTTCCAATCGTAATGTCTCTCCACACAGCTCTCCAACATGGTTTCTCAGCGCATCTAGAAAGGGCACAGGGCGGGGGGGTGGAGGTGGGCCCAGCACCCCTTCCCCAGGAGACCCTCCCCGGTGATGAACCAGTTTTTGCAGGTGTAGCAGCAGCAGCTGGATTAGCCGGTCACAGGCTTCACGCACGGTATCTGGCACAGCCAGGCCCTGGGTAGTAATGACTGAGGCAGGCATGGCTGTGTCCACCAGGAACTGCAGCAGGCGGTAGGCACCTGCCCCAGAGGCCTGGCTCACCAGGTGCACAGCCAGGTTCAGCATGTTGTCCAGCTCCTCTCGGGGGAATCCCTGCAGGTGTTGCTGTAGCTGGCTCAGCACGGCTGGGGGCTTAAGGCAGTCCACCAGCTCTCCAGAGACTGTGCCCAGCAAAGCTGGTGACATGACTGCCAGCTGCAGGAGAAAGGGAACTGTGGCCTGTAGGGAGGGGTCCCCACTTCGGCCCCCAGCTACCCCTGCCAGGCTATCATGGAACATTCGCAGGAGCTCCCGTCGGATGCTGTCTCCGTGGCGGGAGGCCAAGTGCCCTAGGATGCCAACAACTGAGGCAATCTTGGGCACCCGCTTCTCCCCAGGGATAGCAGGAGATCCAGGGAAGGGGTCTGTAGAAGGGGTTTGAGAAGAGCTGCCACCACTGCCACCAGCTCCACCTCCAGCCCCACCATGAACACAGAAGTCCTTCAGGCCACAGGAGAGGACTCGGGAGATGATGGTGCCAGGAAAAGAGGAGCCAATATGGGCCACAACCCAGTCAAAGTGTGGGGAATGCTGGACAGAAGTATCCAGCAAGGCATCCACACAGGCATCTGGACAACTACCAATGAGAGCCGAGAGGCACTGAACATAGATGTCCATTAATGTGCGTGTGGCCCGACAGCCCATCCACAGCTGCAGCAATTCGTTGAGAGAGCCAGTGGCATGGGGCACACGCTGGTGCTGGCCCGAGTATGTGCTGCTTAGTTGCCCCATGAGGTCAATGGACCATGCGCTAATCACAGGTGCCCAGGCCTTTGGGTTGGCCCGGATAAACTCGGACAGCACCTGCTGCACTTCCTGTACCACATCCTCTAGACCAGGTCCCCCAGCAGGAACATGGGAAGGTGGAGGTGGACGGAGATGAGGTGGGCCAGCCACAGGGCTTTCATCCAGGGCAGCCAGGTGGGCCCGGACACTCTCATCAAAGACGCCTCGCAAGTGGTCAAGCACGGCAGCCCGAGCAGGTGGCAAAGAGCGGAGCAGGAGAAGACTACAGCGTGCATGTTCCCGGGCTGAGAGCTGGTGGCCCAGAATGGGGTCGATGCCAGTCAGAAAAGCCTTGATTTCCTGGGACAGCTCCTGAGCACTATAAGGAAACAAGAGAATCAGACTTATTGTGTTGAGAGATGCTGGGCAAGTTACATTCCCTCCGTGAGCTTGTTTCTTTCTATGTGAAATAGAGAATTACCTTCATGACATAATGTTCATAAAGCACGTAAGTACCATATCTGTTTCACACTAATCACTCAATAAATGCTATTTTTCTTTTAATAATATCGACGTAAGTCTTAGAATGTCATGTACTTTTTAAAGTACTTACGTGTATTATTTCAATCCAGACAACAACCCAATAAGGTACTATTATGATCCCATTTTACAGATTAGAAAGGCAAGGTTAAGTAATCAGACTATAAGCTCCAAGAGGGTAGTAACCATTTCTGTGTTCTTCAACACCGAATCCCTTTCTGTGGAGGTGCCTGGTATATGGGAAGTACTCAATAAATTTTTGTTGAATTGATTTGAGTATAGTTTGTGTTCCTATAACATCTGCTTTAAATACACCTGTCCAACTTTACTGCACTCCCCACTACAACATAAGCATCCTGGATTTTACTCTTAATGAAAAAAAATCAACCATAAGGTCAAACTTGCTCCTTACTAAGGGCTCTCCTTCCCCAAACCTGTTTCTTCCCATATTCTACAAGCATCTCAACCACCCAACATTTTGACTCCATACCAACGACAACCACCTTCCCGGCACCCTCAATGTGCCTAGGAATTAGGGTGTCCCAGGGCACAGACAATGCTTTTCAACCCTTCCCCTCCCAAAACATAGAGGTTCAAAAGCCTTTTCCTCTTATTGCCCTTTTCGCCAAAGACAGCATCCTCTAGGGGCTGTTAGGGTTCTGACTGAGCCATTCCTCTCTGGTTCCTCCAAAAAAATACTCTAATGTGAGAGGAGTGTTTCCCTTCTTGGAAGTCCAGGGAAAGGCTAGAAGGAAGCATTCTGTGGGTTTTTAGGCCTGAGTGCTCATGGGGTCTCCATGAAGTCAGGGAACCCTGGGTTCCCTCGGGTCTAAAAGGAGCAAGGCAGCTGGGTTCCCAAGAGTTCTGATATCCCCAAATCTCGGGAGAGCTAGGGCAGGGTCCGGAGTACCTAGTCACTGGGGTTTAAGGGAGGCAGTGTCGAGATCTTGGGAGTGCGGGCACTGGAGCCCAGAGTTTTGGTGAGGCAGTCCCTGAGTTCTGGGAAGACCCAACCAGGAATCTCTGAGAACCCTGACGCGAGTTCTCGAGGTAGGATCTGGGTTTCTGCCGAGAAGGCTGGGGATCGGCGCGGGGCCGCGCGGTGGGGGAAGATGCCAGGGGCTCTGACTACCTGAGCGGCGCGGGACCGTGGGTGGCCGGGGCAGGCCCGGGAGGCCCTGGGGCCCCGGGAGGGTCGCACAACGCGGACATCCCGGAGCCCTAGCCTGAGCCCGAGGCGGGAGCGGCGGAGCGCAGGCAGCGCATGCGCGCTGACGAGAACCCTGAAAGGAACTAGCGGCGAAGCCTCTCAAGAAAACCCATCCGGCGGTGTCCGTGACCCTCACATATTGGTTCCACACTGTGTCGAGGTCCTAGAGCCGGACTGTGATGATCACAGCGGGAAGCCGACCCGCCCTCAATGCAACTTTTTTTTTTTTTACCATTGATACACAGACTAATGCCAGCTGCTACCATTCGGTTGGCTTTAATTATTTTTTCTAAAGACCAAAATGCAAAATGGTCAATTTCACGAGGTTTTAAAAAATGAAGCACTAGGAAACATTTTAATCAAGAAACAGTGACAGTGTAAAAAGCAGTTGAAGGAGAGAAAGGAAGGGGGAAAGCGGAAAAGAGACAGAAAGGAAGAAGAGAAAATTCGTAAGAGAAGATGAAGAGATGGAAAGGAAAGAGAGGAGGGAGAGGAAGCCCCGAGTAAACTGGGCTGGCTAGGCTGAAGGAGTCTTCCCAGTCCTAGAGGTTGGCACTGCGATCCCATCGGTTTCCATGATTCAGGCTTTGCCGTCTCCCCAACATCCGCCACCGGGACTTTCGTGTGCCTCACGTCCCCACGCCTGCGGAGAGGAAGTGTGGTAACTATGTGTGGAGCTAGTACACCCCATCAAGAGCCCCCACTCCGGCCAGCTAGTCTCCGGCCAGCTAGTCCACTTACTTAATCTCTCTCTATGCTTGTTTCCTCTTGAGGAAATGAAGATGGTAATAGTACAACTAACTCGCAGAGTTGTTGTACTATTACCATCTTCATTTCCTCAAGAGGAAACTTGGTAGTAGGTTCTTTGTATAGCACTTGGTGCCTGCAGTAGTAAGCAAGCACTTAATAAGTATTAGGTATTGTTATTGTATTTGTTGAAAGAACTCCAGAAAAGAAGCTCTTTGAAAACAGGGGTTTCGCTTATTTTGTTAAAGGCTATGTCTTCATCACCTGCAAGAGTGTGTGCCTGACGCTTAGTAGGTTCTTAATAAGTAGTTGATTGAATAAATGAAAACTAAAATAGGTTCTGAGACCTGCATTAACCAGAGGGCTTACTGCTCTCAATCGAAGTGTGAGTTAGAATAACATCCGTTGGTAGATTCTAAAGATACTTTCTTTTCTTTTCCTATTTCACAAAAACAGGTCTTTGTTGATGAAGAATTTATTTGTTTTAACTGGACCTAGAGATACTTTCGAAGTGATTGTATTTTAAAAGTTAAATGACTAATTATCCTTCATTTGTTCTTAAATTTTAGAAGTTCAATAACTCACAAAGTGTATATTCTAAGACAGTAAATATGAGACAATTTCTGCTCCTAGTTCTACCTCAAACTTGGACTCAACTCTTCTCTGGGCCTCAATTTTTGATCTGTAAAAGGAGGCTTTTGAATCAAATAAGAGACTGTCATGTGGTCCCTGCCCTTAAGGATTTCACAATCTATGGGTGCTCATTTTGGAGTCTGGTAAATCTGGACTCATGTCTGCTATTTATTAGCAAGGTAACCCTGAGCAAGTGAGCCGTTTGGAGCCCCCTTTTTTTTTTAATCTGTAAAATGGGCATGATATCTCATATCTTACAGACTTTTTGCAAAGATCACTTCAGCTCATATATTTAAAGGACTTAACATGTCAGATACACAAACTCTTCAGAGCAAGCTCCTTCTCACCTTGGGCACAGGGAAAACAAAATTATGAAAGATGGGCATACCAAGATGTTGAAAATGTCTTTCCTTCTCCCTCTTATCTCTTCCCCTCCTCTCCTTACTACATTCGATTACAGTTCAGTTTCAAACAAATACTTTTTCTTTCTGTGTTCAAAACTGAACATAGTACTATTTCTCTGGAAGAATGGCTGATTCCAAATTTTAGGCCAGGGTAAGTAGCAGCTGGGCCTGGAGCATCTCATAGTGCCAGAAAGTAAGGAAGTGCTCGAATACTGATGGTATTGTGTCAAAAGGACAGAGACTACCTTGAAGAGGTTCTTGCTGGCCAAATTTGGTATGATTTTGAGCATTAAAAAGTAATAGTAGTAAAAAAGAATAATAATAATAGTAATGGATTGTAACACATTGAAAAACAATGTAAATCCTTAGTGATATTTTAAAAAGGAGAGATTTTCTTTACACAATATGTCAACTGAATAATATGAATGAATGCTAGAATTAGCAGATCACCATTTTGCAGCTAATTCAGGTGAAAATCATCATGGATGTTAAAACCATTGGGTGAAAGGTCGTTGGGGAATAGGGTATTCAAACAATATTAAGTATCGCTCTATAGATTACGTATTAATAATAAAGGGGGAGGGTACCTTAACAGTGGAGAAATGACAGACATCCACTTTACCAAGTTTCTACCCATTAGAATCACCAATAATGAGACAAACTGATATTACATACAGTTGACCCTATAATGTGTGGGTTAGGGGTGTTGCCCTCCCACACACAGTACAAAATCCTCATAACTTTTGACTCCCCAAAAATTTAACTACTAATAGCCAACTGTTGACCAGAAGTCTTACCGATAAGTCAATTAACACATATTTGGTATGTTATATGCATTATATACTGTATTTTACAATAAAGTAAGCTTGAGAAAAATATTATTAAGGAAATCATAAGGAAAATACATTTACAGTATTTATTGAAAATAATCTGCATATAAGTGGACCGGTGCAGTTCAAACCTGTGTTGTTCAAGGGTCCACTCTGTTTCCTGATGTAATACAATGGGATGTAAGCAAAATCATCTATGTAGAATTTTCCCCAAAAAAATACACTCGAACCCAGGTTGTGGGATATTCTTAAAGAAATAAATAAACAAAAAGGCTGGACTCTTCAAAAAAAAGTCATCTAAGACAAGGTAGGGTATTGTTCTCAATTGAAGGAGACTAGAGATATGACAATGAAATGCAATATGCAATCCTTGATTGGCCTCTGGATTGAGGGAAAAAACAGCTATACAGAACATTATTGGAACAATGAGGAAATTTGCATGTGAAAAACTGAATATTAGCTATTTCACCAATGTTAAAAGTCTTCAGTGATAACAGCATCTTTGCTATATAAAAGAATGTCCTTTGGGATAAAATCTCATCTGCATGAGTCAGCAAAGACAACAGACACACACATACATACATATTTGGAAGTGTGTAGAAAAACAAGTGTATCGAAATATTAAAAATTGGTAAATTCAAATGGAATACATATATAAGGGTTCATTGTACTAATCTCTTAATTTTACTGAAAGTTTGAAGTTGTTCAAAATATAAAGTTGGGGAGGAGGATGCAACACTGGGCCCAAACCTTCCCTCTTCCAGGAAGCCTGTACCGATTAAATAAGACACAGAGAATATGCTTTTTCCCAGGTTGAACACACCTCCGCCCAGGCAGCTTTTCACTTGAATTAAACACCCCAGCCCTGGCTTCCAACAAACAGAATTTCTGAACGTTAGAAGGGAAAAATAATGTTTGGTCTTCACTTTATTAAAAATGAGCCAGCAAAGGAAGCACAAATGAACATGACATAAAGTGACTTGCCCGCCACTGTCACACAGAGGCAGTGGCAGAAACTGGTATCAGGACTCTTACCTCCTCTGCATCTCTACAATCATCTATATTTTGGTCGGAAATGGAAAGTTGGAGTGTCACTCAAGGGCCGTCACAGAGGCTGGCTTCTTGTTGTCTTTGCTCAAGTAAGGTCTGTGGGTCCTGCTTCCTAACTGTCTTGTTCCCACATTCGCAGACCGCTTTTCATGGCCCATCCCATCCCTACATTTAATTACACACATCTCAGTGAAAACTCTAGGCTTTATTACATATAGGGTCGACTGCTAAGGAGCCTCCTCTCTGATATTTCTTCTCCATTCTTCTTCTCAACACATTCCTTCCATGGCAGGTAACTAGGCCATTACGGAAGAGGAATCTAGAGAGAATAAAAAGGTGCAATGTCTTCTCCAAAGTCTTCTGAAACAACCAGAGTCTTCCTGGCTCCAGCTGAGAATCTTCTGGTGAAAGGGGTGAGAGATTTAGCTCCCATCTTCAAGGTCTTCCATGTCTACATCCTGGGGGGCTTTTGTCTTCTTTTGTGATTTGCGCTGTGGTTCACTAGTCCTGGATGGCTTTGCAGGGGCTTCCACTGAGCAAAGAGAAAGAAGCATTAAAGAATCCAAGTGGATCCAGACTGTCCCCTCATCCCCGCTCTGTGCCCCAGCCTCACCTTCCATGGCTGCTTTCTCTTTCTGGGCAAGCCGGATCTGTTGGAGGAGCTTTCTGCGCTTCTTCCCAGACAGAGTAATGTTGGCACGTGCACTGGACCTGAAGGGTAGGTAAGAGCGACGATCCAGGTTAACCTGAACCAATATAGACCACACAGTGGTTCTGGCTATTGAAAAGGTATTTGGGTCCATGTCAAAGAACTATTTGAAAATCTGGGCTCTAAGGTAGTGAGTTTAATCTCAACACATAAAGTACTTAATATTAAATGTTAAATTTTAGTACAGTGTATAAACTTGTAAGAGGAGACTACAAGTTTATTTTTACTTCTATTTTTACTTCTGATACCAGAAGTGGGTTTTATTTCCCCCCACATCAAGCAATTCTCCAATTCTCAACAGACATTGACTGAGCGTCCTACAAATTGAACTCGGTTCTGACACTATCTACCTGGAGATAACATGTTGTCACTTGTACTTCTGATCCACCAGGTATAAATCAGGGTTCTCATAATCTCCTTCTCAGATACCATAATTTGCTAAAAGAGCTCAAAGACCTCAGGGAAACATTTACTTGCATTTACTGATTTATTATAAAAAGGATACAACTCAGGAACAGCCAGATGGGAGATGCATAAGTTGAGGTATAGGAAAGGGGCCAGGAGTTCCCATGCCCTCTCCAGATGAGCCACCTTCCCAGCACCTCCACCTGTTCACCAACCAGCATGCTCATTAAATCTGTTGTTCAAGAGTTTTTATAGAGCTTAATCCCTAGCAACCACACCCACTTCCCAGAGGTCAGTGGGTGGCGCTTAAATTTCCAATCCTCTAATCACTAGGTTTTTCTGGTGAAGAGCCCCACCCTGTCATGCATTATCTTAATAAAGCACACACATAAACTTAAGTGTGCTCAAAAGAGGCCCCTAATGAAATGAGACACCCCTAACACTCCAAGGGTTTTAGAAGCTCTGTGCCAGGAACCAGGGACAGAGACCTTTATTATTTATGCCATTGATAATGAAGAGGTCAATGAAAGGATGGAATGAGAATTCTTCCCCAAGACTCAGTGGGCCTTGAAACTTATATGCAAAACTCCACATGTGCCTCTGTGAAAATTATTCAGTTGTATGCAAGCTTCTATGTCCGCTTTAAAGTTTACTTATAAAAACCCGTGTGAATGTATAGTTTTGGGGGAGATGGGAGAGTCGAGAGCTCTCTAGATTCTCAGTGTGGTCCAAGACCCAAGGAAAGGTTTGTGAGCTACCAGTAAAGTGAGAGGCTAACAGAGTTTAGGCACAAACACAACAGACACGTCTCTTGCACAAACGTGAGTGCACAACGAAAGTGGAGAGGGGTCAGCTGCTCCGGAGCCCCGCACCGAGGGAGGAGACTCCTGAGGAGGCCCGAGGGGAAGAGGGTCTGGCACTCACGCCCGCTTCTTGAGGTGGTGCCGCGTGATCAGCCCTTCGTCTATCACAGCCCCGACCACCCGGTACTTCAGTCGCCGCTCCCGGTTCAACACCCGCCGTCGCTTGAACAGTTTCTTCTTCAGCTCCTGCAGGGGAGGAAGATGCTAATCAGACGGAGGCCGCGCACCGCGCGACCCAGTACCTCCCGCACCGGCGACTCTGGCCTATCAATCCAATCTCTGGCGAGATTAGAGGGCTCAGGGCCGCTTGCGAAACAAAGACAGCGCTCCCACAGAGTCACCGTTCGGGGCCGGTTGATCTTCCCCCCGGGAGCACCCATGGCTGATCCACGTTGCTGGCTTAAGGTTTGTGCTTCCGCTCTAAGCCGGGTCCATCGGGGCCCCGCCCCTCAGCCTCCGTGAACCAATCGCGGCTCGGGGGCGGGTCTTGCCCTATATAAAGAAAATCAGCCGCCCCACAATCCTTTTGGAGCTCCGCCACAGAGTAAGTTGGGGTTGTTAGCGGACCGTCCGGGTGGTGCGGGGATTTTAAGGGGTGTGCTTGCGGACCCTCCTCTTCTTGGCGGGGATCGGGCGTGCGGTCCCGGTCCCCGTAATGTACGGAGGCAGAAGGAAAGGGCTCCGGCCCCCTCGGCGTCATGTCTTCGGTGCCGGCGGCTTTCAGTCCGCCGGTTCTATCCTCACGCGCCGGGACACGGCTCCAAGAAGCAAGGCAGAACTGAGGTTCATTGGGCTCTTTCCTGACATGCTCACGCCTTCTCCTTTCACGCCTTCTCCTTTGATTTCAGGTCTGAAGCCGCCCCAGGAGCCGGAGCTGTAGTGTCCCCTCCCGTTTCACTTTCGTTGCAACCAATAAAGGCCTTTGGTACCCTAGTAGGTGTATGTCCGCCTTTTTTCCGAGGCTGTTGTTAGGGAAGCTGTACGCGTTATATTCCGCAAAGCGGATTTTGCAAATCTTCCCTTGGACCTCAGGCTTCTGCCGGCGAAATTTCGCAGGTCTCCGGCTGACCTTGCCGGCACCTCTGGATGGCTGCCCTGCGCCGAACCCTCCACATGGCGACCCTGCCTGCGGGGACGCGCCGCGCCTTGGCGGGTAGGAAAAATGGACAGAATGGGTGGGCAAAGTGGGTTCTTTGTGACCCGGGACGCTAGGCCCTGAAATTGTGACTCCTAAAATCCCGCTTACATTACGCCGTTTTGCAGCGTTTAGATAGAACTCGGGCGCCGGATGACGTGCCTTTCTTCGCTCGTGTCCACAGGCTCCCTGGCCAGTAGCTGCTTAGCGGACCGCAGCCTCTGGGATAAGCTCCACGCCCAGCCCCGTCTGGGCAGCGTCCCCACCTTCGATTGGTTCTTTGGGTATGAGGAAGCCCAGGGGCTCCTACTGCCGCTGCTGCAGGGAGCCCGGGCTGCTTCTCCACTGCGGGTGTTGGACGTGGGCTGTGGAACCTCCAGCCTGTGTACAGGCCTCTACGCCAAGTGCCCGCACCCTGTGGATGTGCTGGGGGTGGACTTCTCTCCTGTGGCCGTGGGCCACATGAACAGCCTCCTGGAAGGTGGCCAAGGCCAAACACCCCTGCGTCCTGGGCACCCTGCCTCCCGCCTCCGCTTCATGCAGGCTGATGCCCAGAACCTGGAGCCAGTGGCTTCCTCGGGCTCCTTCCAGCTAGTGCTGGACAAGGGTACTTGGGATGCTGTTGCCCGGGGTGGTCTGCAGGGGGCTTACCAGCTGCTGTCAGAATGTCTGAGGGTCCTAAGCCCCAAGGGGACCCTGATTCAGTTCTCGGATGAGGACCCTGACATACGCCTACCCTGCCTGGAGCAAGGATCTCAAGGCTGGGCCGTAGCTGTGCAGGAGCTCGGTCCTTTCAGGGGCATCACCTACTTTGCTTACTTGGTTCAAGGCTCTCATTAAAGACTTTTAATCCTGACTCTAGTGTTTCTGTTGGGTAAAGAGAGGTGAGGAGAGCTTTGCCTTTGCAAAATGGCTGGAAAGAGGTTTTCAGTCCTGGCTTCCACATTTACTACCTGGGTATACATAGTATTGACTTTATGTGCCCTGGTTTTCTTATCAGCATGATAATAATACCTGGAGTTATGGGGATTACGTACAATAACAGGTGAAACATTTAGCAGAACCAGGCACAAGATGAGCACTGAGTTGAGATGGGACAAGTGGATCATTCCTCACTCTAACTAACTGGAACTCTTGAAAGCAGATAGGAATTCTTAATCCAAATCTCAGCATTGACTAATGAGGCCCAATGACCTAACCTCCAAGGCTCATTTTTCTCCCGTGTATAAAGGGAAGATTGTGAAGGATGGATAGAAGAGCTCCATAAACTGAGGTGAAATGTTCAATGAAAAGAACAATACCTTCAAAGCTCCTGGGAGGCAGGAGATGGGAGTATTCCACAAAGTGGCTTCGGCAGACACGAAAGCCTGTTGCTGGGTCCCAGAGAGGACTGGGATTGGGGGCTTCCTGACACTCAGCGTCCTCAGGAATCCAGGGGGCATCTTGCTCTACTTGTTCCCGCCCCCAGCTGAGTTCTGGGTTAAAGGTTCGTAAGGGAGATCTGGGGTCCAGTGGGCTCCAAGTCCAGCCTGGGAGGGAGGGGAGGTGAAGAGCCCATTAACAGTGGAAAATAGTTCTGCTATACTGAATTTTCGTGATACTTCCATTTCACTTCAAGTGAAATCTTTCACCTTTTACTAAAACCCCCAAAACCATGAATTTATCATTTTTGCTTATAAAAATAACAGCAATTGTAATGAGCCTAACTTCACAGCCTCTTCATGAAGGGACAAGTATCTCCATTGGGTTCTGAAAATCATGAGGTAAAAGTATTTTACCATAGTGCTCCCTCCCCACCCCCCCAAAAAGTTTATGTAACAGTATAGAGACATGGAGAAAAATCTGGAAGAGAAGACATCCCAAAGGTTAACGATCTCTGGCTAGTCAAATTTTGGGTAATTATATTCCCCAACAACACAACAATGTAAATATTTTAAAATACTAAAAATACTTATGAAAAGGCATGACCCATCTGACATCAGAACTGCCTTCTAAAGTTCATCAACTATGCCAACCACCTTGACCTTTCCCATCTCAACATTTTTTACTATGTTGAACATCTGCGTGTCTGGCACTGCTTAATACAGGGGACACGACTGAGTTTTCCATCTTGGTCCTTCCCAGAACTTCCCCGTCACAAAGGCCCTGTTGAACCATCCGCCTCCCTCACCTGGCTCTTCACTTTGGTCCTGGAAGAAGCCCTCAGCCTCCTCTTCATCATCAGTGAGCACCAGCAGCTCCTCATGTGGCCACCGGAGCTCCCCACTCTCTTCACTTATCTCAGAGGCTTCTACCACAATGGAGGGCAGATGGGTCTTTTGAGAGACAACCTGCATGGGGACAGCAGGAGGCTTGGGCCAAAACTGGAAGAGCCAGCAGAGGGACACAGGGCGGAGAAGTACTAACCTGAATATCTTGGTGATCTTCAACCCTGTCAATTTCTCCTCTGTCCTTCCAGAGAGGGTTGGTCAGCCTAGCACTTTCTGGATGCTGGAAGGAGCCTGGGCTATCTCTAGGCCAAGGCCCATCCTCACTGCTTTCTGGCACAAGGTCCATGGGTACGGATTTTTAGAGTGCAGGGTGGTTGAACTCAGAGATCTGAACCCCTGCCCAGTCGTACCCCACGGGATGTTCCTTTAATCTTCTTTGGAGCCTGGCCCCTTAATCACTTCTGAAGAGAGGAAGATGACAGGCTAGGAGATTATGGGCCTTTCAGGGGAGGGGAAAATCCCAAGAGGTGGGCTAAGAGCTCTATTTGCTCTCACTCCCTGGGGACATTGGGAAAGGCTGGAGAGATAGCAACAAGGGCATCTGGATTAAAGCCCTATGAGTGAAGAGCCTTGATAACAAATTTGGAACTTTCCGATTCCTTTGCTCACTGGATCTCCAAAGTTGACATATTTCTTTGTATTGTATTTAATGAATATTTACATGATGTTTACTGTTTGCTGGAACTGTTTTAAATGCTTTACATACAAACTCATTTAACTATCTTAGAACTGTGATATACAGTTACTAGCCCATATTCTTCTGGTGCAGAAACCGCGGCACAAACTTAAATGACTTGTAGAGTCACACAACTAAGAAATGCTTTCTTCTCCAAACTAGAATTCGATATGTTACACGAAATCCCGAGTTTTCATTGTTTAAAAAAAAAAAAAATGCCAACGGTATATTACAAGAAATGTAAGAAGTTTACTTTTAACAAGTTTATTAACAAGTGAAAGAAAAAATATAAATATCCCCTTCTCCCCGCCCAGTTCACTTGGCTTTGAGTTTTTGTTCAAGAGTTGAAGGGATCGATAGGAGTCATAATTGATTGATGTGTCTAAGTATCTGGATGTCCACTGTGTACTGGAAAGGCACAAGTTACTGTAGGAAACCACAGAGCACAGACAGCCCTACCCTTCTACTGACTAGGAAATTTCAGAACTGGGCAGTTAGTTGTAAAACCCGCAGCAACCACGAAGACACGCACTCTCCCCTTGGCAATCCCACTCCGGATTTCATGACAATGGGCTCCGTGCTCGGTCCTCCTTGCCAACACTTCCTTGACATGCTCAACTATCTCGTCCAAATCTAGATATAAGACGCAGGTGCTCTAGATTCCAAACGTTTCGCAGATTAGGCCCTCTCTAGCCCTTCCCTTCTCTATGGTGTCCTCTGTGGGTCGCTCTGGCCCGTGCAGGGAGGCGGTGAGACGCGGTGGCTGCTTTTCTAGGCTGCGGGGGACGGCAGAGGGCGCCTCGCCGGTTGCGCGGCGGACCATGCAGGCCTTTCGCAAAGCGCTGATCGTAGGCGCAGTGCTGGGCGCGGGGGCTGGCGTGGGCTCCGCGCTCTTTGTCCTCGTGACTCCGGGAGAGGAGCGGATTCAGGCGATGCTGAAGGTGGGAGCAACTGGGAATCCGAGATGGGGTGGACGGACAGGCGAAGAACCCTGGGCTGGGGGCCGGGACTGCGAACCTCTCTTCCTGCCCGCAGGAGATGCCGGGGCAGGACCCGCGGAGCAGGGAACAGGCGGCCAGGAACAAACAGTTAGTGCTAGCTACTCTGCAGGAGGCAGCGGCCACGCAGGAGAACTTGGCCTGGAGGAAGAAATGGATGGGCAGCGGCGGCGGGAGGTCAGCGTGACCCGGGACCTGCCCCTGTGGGCGCTGGGACCTGCCTTCCCGCGCAGGAGTCGGAGGCGGCCTTTAGAGAATGGACCTGGCGGGGAGTCCGGGTCCGGGGAGCTGCCGTTCCGCTCAAACCCTGCACTGACGGCGCTTTCACGTTCACATGGCGGGCCCGCACCATCGGATGCTGCTAGTTGAGGAAATCAATAAATCACGTTCCTCCATCCAGAATGAGCTCTGCGGTCCGACACCTATAAATGCTTAGAGTGTTCTGGGGCTGGGATGTCCGTGGCTCCCGCCTACCCTGCTACCCACGTGAGGCTGAAGCCCAATAGGCACACGAGACCACGTCGTCAAAACAGAAGTCAGGTCACGTGGTCTGAGTGTACTTTTGGGGATAACCAGGGGACATTCTTGAAATCAGAACTACCTGGGAAAACCTTGTAGCAGTAGATGCCCACAGAGGACCCTTTGGGTTCCTGTCCTTCGAGTGAGGTTGGACAGGGGCTTCTAGCATTTAACATATGCCAGATGTCTTCTGTGGCCATTACTTAACCTTTGGAGGGCCACTTGCTAGGAAGAGTCGTGAAAGGAGTGTTTTGAGTCAGACAGATCTTGATTCAATTCCAGCACGTTACAAAACTTGAGTCTCAGTCCTGTTCATAAAAGGTGATAATTATCTTAAGGGCTGGCTTAAAAAAATTAATTTAGAAATGTAAAGTGCAATGTCTGGCACAGAGCAGCCTCTCAGAAAATGTAGTTGGGTTTTTCCCCTTCACGGTTTGCACTGTAGCATTCACTCTGAATCCAGGTATTGTATCTACTGGAGACGTCTCTGAGAGGAGGAGATAAAGCTGTCAGTGGGGTCGCAGCTCCACAGCCAAGTCTATTGCTTGGCTCCCCTTTTGTCCATTCTATATCCTGTGGTTCCCAGCAACATTGTAATAGAAAAAAGGTGGCTGCTTTTATTAAGTAAATTTACCCAGAACACTAAATACAGCTTGGTAACACTGAAGTGTAAACCAGATGTGAACATTGGTGGCTTTCAGCTGCTGGGTGAAGTCATAAGCTGAGTACATTTGTCACGTTACAATTTAATTGTACCCTTTCTTATCCCAGGAATGACAGTCACCAGCTGTTTGAGGGAGCGCTAGGGTGAGGCAATCAGCAGTAGTGAGAGGGGCTTTGATGAAGGTGCTTGGCAGTTCAGAACCCGAGCCCTAGAGTTGGGCTCCCCAGGTGTGTTCAGGATCTACTACCTGCTGTGTTGCTTTGGGCAAGTCATGTGCTTTAATGTCCCAGTCTCTAAAAAGGGATAATTGCACCTACACCGGGGTAAGAGTGCCTTCATATCTATTAATACATATAAAGCACTTAAAGTGTGTGGTACATGTTAAGTACTCAATACATTTTAGTGTAAAAGAAATGCAGTTGTGAAGGTCACCGATGCTACTCACCATGTGGGAATGACTACATACAAAACTACTGCCCTTTTAGTAGCTGGTAATTACTGGGGACTTATTTGGTGCCTGGCACTGTGCTAGAGCACTTTATGTCAGCATTATGTGACACCCACAACCACCCCAATTAACAGGTCCTGTTGACTCTATTTCACTAAAGAAGGAACTAGACTCAAGTCCGGGCATAGCTAATGCACTGCCCTACCCATAGGAGCCGAAGATGCTCCCCACCCGCCAGCACCTGTCCCCACCTCAACCTCCCTAGCAACTAGTCAGACCCAGAGATTAGAAATGTCTCTTTGCTGGCAAGGTAAGATGAGTAGGGTGTACTCTAAAAGCCTCTTTAGGTTCTTCCTCTGCCTGTTTTGTTCCTCCCAGCCATTCAAGAAGGAGTCAGGCACGTGGAGAACTCCGAGGGTCTATTTATTAGGAAGGAGATGTCAGTGCTTTATCAAAGATGAAGAGGTCAGAGAGGGATGGTAGGATAAAGGCCTCTCAGCTGGGACATTTCTTGGCCACAATGAGGACAGCAGAAGGCACAAGTCCTGAAGGTGGAAGAAAACAGGCTTGAACCACAGATACCCGCTCTTCGCCCTCCAAAGGCCTTTCTGCACACCGTCTCCACAAAGTCCCTTCTCTTTGCCTCCCCCCTTCCTTTCTCAGGCATCCCCCCTGATGCTCCCACCCCTAAGTCCTGCTTCAGGTCCCACGTGTCATACCCAGCTCCTGCAGAGGCCGTTCCATGTCAGCCTCTGAAAAGGCCCGCCGGGGGAAGCCACTGAGCAACTGCACAGGGTCCTGGCACCCTCCAGGTTCTTCCCCACGGTGGAGCTCCACATAGAGCCTCACGGCTGCCAGCTGTTCACGTGCCCGGAACGTCTGAGTGAGTGAGGTCCCATCTGGCAGCCTGACCTACAGGGCATGTGAGAGATACAGTGTGGTGAGTGTCAAAATAGAGGTACCTAAGTAAGCAAATCTGGCTCTTCCTTCCTCTCAAATGGAACCAGCACAATTACTGTTTAAAGCATGTAATGAACAATCAATTCTGCTCTGCTTCACTAAGCACTGAAGAAAGGCTCACTGCTCCCTCACAATTTAAAACAAGGACAAGATCACAACAAAACTATCAGGATAAACGTCATAGCATAAATGGATAAAAGTTAGCATTGCAAGTAGCTGTGTAATAAACCAAGTGAAAACACAGACAAGTAAAGAAGTCATTACTGAGTAAGAGGAAAGTGTGGATTTAAATAAGACAGGGGCAAGTGAAATTTGATATCTTTCCTAGGAGTAGAGGAGGCAGGATTTCAAAAGTCACTTACAAAGGGAGAGGTTTGGCAAAGGAAGCATAACTGAAAAAAGGTCCGGGCTAGGTGCCTTAGAGGCGAGGAAGGGGTCCCAGAAGCAAAACGGAAGTCAGAATCAGTACCTGTATGCGACACTGGTCATACTCCCGTTTGGTGGGAGGCTCCTGGCTAGGAGAAGAGGGAACAGGACCCGGCTCTGTTGTTGGTGGGGATGGCTGAGAACCCACACTACCACCATACTGGAGGACAAAGTAAAACACTCAATGAGAAACACTATGAGCCCATCCTTTCTGAAGATGAAAAAGGGATTTACTAGCCCATCTACCTAATTACTCTCAGTATCTTCCCAATTACCTACCTTCTTGGCTCTCTCTGCTTTGTCCCTTTCGATCTTTTCTCGGACTCTTTGTCTGGAATACAAACGGGAAGCAGGTATGTCAAGCGTTGACAAAGCAAATATTGATTCCTTTCTAATTTCCTACCCAACATCCCCAGCACCCAACCTGGCGGCTAACTCTTCAGCTTTTTCCCTCCTCCGCTCCTCAGCAGCCCGGCGCATCTCATCTTCCTGTAGCCGCTGTCTTGCAGCTGACAACTCTTGCCCTTGTCTCCTGCGCTGCCGTTCCCGTTCCAACGCCTCCCGCTCCTCTCTTTCTTCACGCTCCCGCTGCTTCTGGGCCACCAGCTCCAACATCCTGTGTTGCAGAAAAGAAAGTGCTCAAGAAATGCACATGGATTGAGAAGGTGAATTTATACCTGGGGACTCAGAAAACAAAATCAGGGAACATGTCTCTCAAGACAGATGAAAGAAACAAAAAAGGAAATGCCAGGAAATGGTAGGGAATATGAAAAGTTCGACGTTCTTTGGTCAGACTGTGTACTAGGGAAAGGTGGAAGGTGAGCCTCAAAAAGGTGAGATAGTTCCTTGCTATATACCTCTTAGTCTGTTCCTGTCTTTCCTCTTCACTCAGAATGGGTTTGCCTTCTCCCGCAGCGGGCCCAGTTCCTACAAACGAGCAGTAAGTATTATTATTATTCGTTCATCCTCCTCGGGCCCTCCTGAATAATCACACCGTGACCCTCAGTCAGGACCTTCGGGGCCTCCCTGCTCCGAGGGGGTGGGTTCTCGTCCCAGGATATGTCCAAGGGGAGCCGCTAGCGGCTCGTCCACATCGGGGTCGTCTTCGTGCTCCATCAACCTGGCAGAAAAAGTCGGGAGGGAGGTTAACATTGAGACTGCCCCTCCCAGCAGTCCCCAGTCCCCTTGCCACCTGGTGTGAGCGCTCACCAGTCCATCGCAGCCTCGATGCCCTGGTTCCCTGTGAGGGCCAGAGCCTTCTCCCTGGGGGCAGAAACACCGTGAATAGCGCCCACGAGCCATGGTGAGTCAGGCTGGGGCGTAGAGCCTGAGGCCAGGCTGGGGGAACGGCCCGGACACGTCCGCGACCCCGGCGGGTCGGGGTTAGGGGGGCTCCCTTACGCGCGTCCCCTGGGGAAGCCCATCTCGATGAGACTCTCCAGAGCCGTAAGCTCCGCCATGACGACGCCAACGCCGCTTCCGCGGGGACCTGGGGGGACGAGAAGGACGGCGGAGGGGCTCAGCGCGGGGCGCCCGCGGCCCGCGTGCAACCCCGCCCCCGACGGCCCCGGCCGGGCGCTCGCTCACTCACCCGGCTCCGGACCCGCCGCGGACACCGAAGAGAAGAAAGTGGGGGGGAAGCGGAAGTGCCCGGATCTGTTTGGGTCACGTGTTGGCGGACGTGGACGGGTGCCGCCATGAGCCAAAAACCATCCTGGCCCTGCCTTCGGGACGCGCGCGGGCGGGGCCAGACAGCTCGTGGGAATTGCGGATACGGACTGGGGACCCCTCAAGCCGCGGCCTCTGATGACGGTGGGAGAGAAGGACGATGCAACCTTGAAACCCATGGGCGGAACGAAGCCAGCTCCGGATATGGTTGGTCCCTTAGCGCAACCAGTTGGAAAGTTATTTGGCACTGTTTTCTGGACTCCGGGTTTGCTAAGGGAAAGCCCCGTTTCTAAAGCAAGCCCCCTTATTCACCCCTCAGCTCCAGTATTTACCCCAATTAAGCGTTTATTCCCCTGCTGTATAGTCCTTGTTGATTAGCCTTCGCAGATACTTAGTCTGTTAGACTCCTAAAAGTAAAGTTCACTTTAAATGTTTAATTAGGAGGCAGAGTAACAATATGTTACTGATATTGATAATGTATGCACTAGAGATTTTTAGATTAATGCTTATTTAATCACATCAATCCATGTGATATAAGTACTATTATTAGTCATAGGAAACGGACACATAAATAACCCAAGGTCATAAAGCTGGTAAGTAACAGATCTAGGATGCAAACCCCCAGAAATTTAGTACATACAGTTGTGCGTTCACTAAACTATGTTGCCTCTCCAGAGTGGAGTGATGACTTTGGAGTTGGGAAACCTGGGCCCAGATCCAAACTCTACTCCTTACATGTAGCTTCAAACCATTTAGAACCTCAAATTTCTCACTTGTGAAAAGGTGGTACCATCTCTCTCTTGGAATGATTGTGGTGAAGACTGATAATGCATGTAAAGCATAGCTTTAATGATAAGATAGTAGGCCCTCATTATTTGTAAATAAATAAACGCTGAGAGTACAGGAAGCAAATAAAAGGGCACAAAGTGTTCACTGCAGTGTGATAAGTGTATTCTAGATAACAAATGTATTCTAAATTTATCCTAGAAGTCCAATAAGAAAAGAATAATTAAGTTGTATAGTACTGCCTTTTTGACCTACTTCCAGGTAAGCAACCTATAGAAAAAACAAAAATGTGAGGCTGGCTACGCAAGGAAGGATTTCCATAGCAAACACTGCAGACAACTTAATTGTTTCAACAAAGAGCAATGGGCACTGTCATTTGAAGAGTATCCTCTTATGGGAAATTATACAGCCTCTAGAATAACTAAGGAGACTGATTTACCAACAAGGAACATTGTCCCTAAGACACTAAGTGAAAAAAACAAAATGTTTGCATAGAGAAAGATCTGCTTTGCTATGGCCAGGTACTCCTTGAGAAGCAGAACGTCCACTTTATACTCTTCGGTATTACTTCAAATTTGTATAAGTGTTAATTTGATAATTTAAAAAAGTTATTAAGACCAGTAAAAGTCAGAATTGTACTCCGTGGTAACTCAGACTTTTCTACATCCAGTTTATTTAAAAATAAACTTAAAATTATGTATACTACTCTGAAAAATAAGTGTGTGTACAGAGAATTAAAAAAGGTCATGAAAAATCAAATGTCTTTTTATGTTTCTTTTAATGTTGTTTCAGTGAATACACAATAAACACATTAGAGGGAGGAGAAAATCCCTTGGAATTATTGTATTATTATAATTAACTTGAAAAACTACAAGCTTGTCCCAGACAGCAGCTTGGATGGTGTGTTCTTTTCTCCACCCCATGTCAATCATTTATTCCCACCCGCCTCACACAGGTGGATTCTGAGGCAGGTGTACCCATCCTCAATATCTAAACAAAAGGCAGGAGTAGTCGTCTCTGGCCTCAAACTCCCATCCTGCAGCAGCTTATTCTCAAAACCCTACTGAAGCGCCCATTGTGGCATAGCCCTTCACTGGGTGTTTGGCAGGGGTTGCTAATTATAGCCAACCAGCCAGCCAAATCTGGCCCCAGGCCTGATTTGTAAGGCCCATGAGCTAAGAATGGTTTATACGTTTTTATAAATGGTTATGTAGTTATAAAAGTACCTATACAATATCTTCACTTTAATCCTCTGGATCTGCAAAGCTGAAATGATTTACTATCTGGTCCTTTAAGGAAAACTTCGCCAACCCTCTACTTCCCAACCTCAGCCAGGAGCAGAGGGGACAGTCTGGGACCTGCAAGAGCTCTTAGGCGGAGTGCAGAGGCTCAGCGGGGCCTGGGCTGTGCGGGTCATCAGCGGCCCGCACTTGCTCCCTGAGCCCAGGCTGAGCTCGCTAGGTTGGGGCTCTGCGAGGCCGAGGTGACCGCAGGCTGCTTCAGAGGCCCGCGGTGGGCCGGGCGCGGCGGGGACAGCCGCAGCGCTGGCGCAGGCAGAAGTGCCAGACCAGGGCGCCGCAGCTCAGCAGGGCCAGCGCCGTGCTCACCCCTACGGCCGCGTGGACCAGGCTGAGGGGTCGCGGGGGCATGGCCAACCGGCCGCACGGCCCGAAGGCAGGGCCGCCCGCGCCCTCAGGGCCCTCGCCCCGCGCGCCACCCACCGCGGTCACGTTGCTTTCTCCCGCGGCGTTGGCGGCTACCACACAAACAACATAAGCGCTCCCAGGCTTCAATCCCTTCAGTTCTGCTCGGCGGACAGTAGAGTTGAGGGGGGGCCCCTTCTGGGGAGCCCCGCTGCCTTCCCAAAGCAGCAGCCAGTACTGGTGGACTGGGGACGAGGGGGCACACCAGTGCACCACCGCACTGCCGACCTCGGCCACCACGTGCACTTCTCCCAGGCGTGGCGGGGCTGGCGGCTGCCCAGGGCTGGAGAGGCCGGGACACAGGCAGGCCCTCGGGCTGGCCTCCTGAAGCTCTTTGCAGGGCACCTGCAGGTGGCGGCAGCGGTCGTAGTCACAGAAGACGGCCGGTAAAGGTGACCACGGTGTCTCATCTTCCTTCTCTTCTTCAGAGTATTCAGGGTCCAAAGGCTGTGCTCTGAGAACCAAGGAGAAGGTGACAGCCAGGAGCCACAGAAGGCAGGGAGAGCCCAGCATGGAGTCTGAAAGAGAAGGGAGTGGGTCAGTAAAGGCTACTCTGTCTCCATGCCTTCCAGGCCCCTGCCCGAACAAAAGCCCCGGGGGCAAGGGAACACCACTGCGGACCAAGAGGAGAGCAGGAAAGAGAAGGGAATGCGACAGACACACTCATCTGTCAGCCAACTTCTGAACAGCCTGTGTGCTTGGTTTCAGGCAAAAAAGAATAAAATATGGTCTGATAGGTGACAGATGTGTACCCAGCAATGTGGATGAAGTAATAGAAACAATGAATAAGCAGAATGCTGGGGTGAGGGGCGAAGAGTAGGAAATGATTTACTCAGCCTAGGGAAGAAAGGTGGAGTAATTCCCAGCTGCCATTCCGAGAAAAGATCTAGGTAAAACAAATGTCTGTCACTGACACATGCGAAAACCCAGAACTAGGGTGGGGTGGAAGAGAAAGGAGAGACGGAACAGAAGGGGAAAGTAGTAAGGACGGCACTCCCCACCTGTCACGGGAGTCCTGGACCCTGCCTGTCTCTCACCTCCCCTCGCCCCCCAATTCCTCCTGGCCTATGGCAGCCCCTCACCAGTGCGCAGGCCTTGATGCAATGGGAATCTACGACCAGACGTCTGAAGGGATCAGGCCCTGGGGTCCCCAAGAGCACAGGCTGCGAAGTCAGGTTTCGTGTCTTCGATTTCAATTCTGTCTTGGATTGAAGCTTTTATACCCTTCATCTGTGATGTCACCACCTAGCCCCCCTCTCCCTGCCCCCCTTTCCTGGTCAATGCCAAGAGGGCTGGTCCCTTCAGAGCGCCTGAGTCACAGGGCCAGGGATGAGGGAGGCCACATGCAGTGGTTTCAGCTGGAGGCCAGGATGCCTGGGTTCTGAAAAGGGCCTGGAATGGGGAAAGCAGCCAGGAGCTGAGTCTCCAAAGGCTGAAGTCATGTGAAGGGATGAGGAGGGGAACACGAGGGAGGGGGCCACCTGGCTGGTATCAGAGAGCAAAACAGCTGTAGACAGCATGGGGCCTGGGCTACGAAATGCTGTTTTGGTTAAAAATTATACCACATCCATGGCAGTCATTTCCTGTCTTCTGCCTCCCAAAGGACAGAGAAAGGGAGGGGTGCAGAGGCAGGAATGATGTAGCCCAGCTCTCCAGACCCACCCTACACTAACCCCCTCCCCAGAGATGAGAGTCACGTGCACGGAGTAGGCAAAAGAGGATTTCTCTCCTTGCACTTCCTAGGCTTATGAATGGGAAGAGCTGTGCCTTAGAGCTTGGCCCCTGACAAGGCGATCCCCTCCAGTCAGGGGTGGGGTAAGCCTGGGGAACACGAAGTTCTCAAATGGCCCTGAATCCACTTCAAAGAGTCGGAAGCACCTGGCAAGAATATAGTTTATTAGGGGAGCCACAGGAAAGGAGGAAGGGAAAGGGTCAGGTGGAAAAGGGCTGAGGCCACAGACACATCAGAATAGGAAGAGGAGTCAGTTTAGCGAATCAGACAAACACCCGCAGGAATCTGGTGGCTGTGTCCAGCTTTGGGGTAAAGTCTGAAAAGTGGAACAAGACTCCGCCCTGTTCTCTTTAGGAACTGGAGCAGGTGACGCGCTGCCGGAGAGAGCCCACGGAAGGTTCGGAGCTGCCCAGAGTCTCTGGGGCCAGGGCAGGGGCAGCAGCAGGCAGGTTGGCCTCTGTCAGCAGAGCTGCATCTTCCCAGGAGCCTGAACCTGGGGGCCGGGGGAGGGAGAAACAAAATCCCAAATGGGAGATCAGACAACCAGGGGCCCCTCCACCCAGCCCAACAAGGCCTCCTCCCCACCCGAAGGCCACCCTCACCCCACCTAGGTCCCGGAGCAAGGTGGTGGCCCTCAAGGTGGTGCCCCTCACCATCACTGGCCTCCGGCTCTAGCTCTTCCTCGCCACTCAGGGGCTGCTGATCTGGTTTCTCCTCCTCAGACAGCTGGCCCTCTGCAGCCACAGGGGTAATGCAGGGGTCAGATTGGAAGAGGCTGATGGGGAGGGCTACGAGGAGTCAGGAGGGAGGGACGGAGGGATGGCTGCGGCCCGGTACCTGTCCCTGAGGGATCTTCAGGGCTCTCGGCATCCTCTGTAACGTCTGACAGCCGGGTGGACTCCTCCTGGCCTTGGGGCAGAGGGCAGAGCAGGGATAGGGTGGCTGTGCCTGGATGGCAGTGCCTTGCCTTTGACGCTCAGCTCGGTGTGTGAGCACGCTGAGCTTCACACCAGACGGTGCGGGAGCCCCTCTCACCCGGCTCCCAACCATCGCCTTTACCTAGCTGACGGCCAGAGATCCTTCCCTGGGCTGCCTTTCGGGAACCATCTCTCTTTTGGATGTTTACCTGTGGAGGGGAAACTCCTCAGCAGTGAAGACTGACTTCCCTCACACCAGTGATCAGGGCCCGTTCACCGGAGCCCCCAACATGCCCTGGCCCGCTCCCCAGTCAAAGGAGGATCACAAAGGGGAGAGGAAGGGGGTCCTCTGCGACCTGCAAAGAGAAGCGGTGTCGGGGCCAGATGCCTCCCCACATCCACTGCATGTAACTGAAGAGCACGATGACGCTGAGGAAGGTGAAGTTGCTGGCAACACCTATGAAGGCGCAGGTCATTGGAAAGTTGTACAGCAGGTACCTGAGGCGGGAAGGAGGGACAGGAAGGCAGCGGTTACGAGAGAGCTCCAGCCTTCTCCTAAGACAGCGGCTCTCAACTCTGGCTGCACATTGGCATTCCCCAGGGTGCTTTCCAAAAGTCTGATGGCCAGATGTGAAACTAACAGATTCTAGTTCAGCTGGTCTGCGGGTGGGGCCCAGGCATTGGTATTTTTGAAAAGTTCCCCAGGAAACAAACGAATAAACAAAAGCAAACTCACAGAGGCAGACAACAGATTGCTTACCAGAGGAGAAGCGGGGTGGACGGGGAAATGGGTAAAGGGGTCAACGGTATAGTGACGGACAAAAAATAGACTTTTGGTAGTGAACATGATGGTAGTAAATACAGTTGTCAAATTATAATGTTGTACACCTGAAACTTACAGAATGTTATCAACCAATGTTACCTCAAAAAAAAAGAAAGAAAAAAGAAATCGAACACAAGGTTCCCCAGGGAACTGATATGCTGATGTGCAGCCAGGGCTGAGAATCTGGGGCCCAGGGAAAACCTGACACCTCTGCTTAGGACTCTCTTCGCTTAAGGGCAGCCCCAGGAGAGCCACCGAGGAGGCCCCCTTCACTGGGTCCTCACCTGAGCCCAGAGAAGTGGGCGTGGATGCGGAGGGAGGCTCCGTACAGCTGGATGCGCTTGCTGTGGATCTCGATAATCACTCCGGTGGTCGGCACATACTGCAGGGGCGGGGTGGAGGGGTGGCGCAGCATCAGGCCGGGATCCTGTTGCCGTCAAGCTGAGGCCCGCTCCCAGCCCCCTCCGTTGCTGCCCCTCCGACTGAGACAGAGGCTCCTCAGGTAGGATTCTGGGTTTACGAGGAGGGCTGGCCTCTAGTCCTCCTTCACCCACTTACCGAGTTCTCTCTGTACTCCGGGTACAGCTCTACCTCCAGGAGCTGCTTCTGCTCCGCAAAGCCAAACAGCAGGAGGCTAGAGAAGACCAGCGTGTCAAGCATCTGGCGCAGGTCTGAAC